GTTGCATTGGGCTCAGTCAACTATTATGTTTTAAAAACGTATTGTTGTAATTGCATTGGGTCCCGTGTAATCAGACTATAATAGTAAAAAAGCAGTTATGTGATCTTTTAGTAGTCTGGTTATCGTTTAAGTTGTCCGTATTCCAACTGAAACCGGTGATCTTTTATTAACCAATTGATACATCAACTACAACATCACATTCAAAACGATAACGCCTATTAATTTTTAAGGCTCTTTGAACCCACTGGTCAATCAGAAAACAGTGACAGTAAAATGATCAGTTCTTTGTTGTATTTTATTCAATCATAACTCAAAACCCACACATTAATATACTTCAAATAACCACACAGCAACACAACTAAGGGAAAACAATGTTTATATACTTTAGTCATAAATATTAAAAACAGGAGTAATGAAGAAATAGTCAGTTCATGGTTAGTCTAGAACAATAAAACATATAACAGTGAGTTATAACAGAGACCTAAGAGTACAAAATTACATGAATCTACTGATTAAACAATAGAAATACAATTAATAATCTTTCGAATTACAATTTCACGTATAATATTCTTTACACAGTACACCATTGCATTACATTAGTAATGCATGCTCAGTGTTTGATCATAAGAATAATCGGTCATTAAAAAATCATCGAAATGTTCACAAAATAATGAAACAGAATCTATACAAATGAATTAACAGATTAGTACACAGATAACTTGAGTTTCATCTAGAAAATTCTCTGATCATCTAAGATAGCGGTGTTTAACTCATCATTCATATGACCATCGTTTGTTGCGTGCATAACACAAGTTAAACATATGTCATAGAAACTAACCTACAATGTCATTGTAAACCAAATTCAACACATTATCGTGGTTTGATAATAGTTGGGAACAAATTTATTGATCATTTTGACCTTAATTATTATGAGACTTTCACAAATATAATTTCACATTCAATATCTCCTCTACATTCATGTCTAAACTCTATGCAACTGATATAATAGGATGAAAAGGCAAAATGACATCCTTTTAATCATTGTGATTTTTGTCCAATATCACTTCGGTTTTTCATCTAATGTGATGATTGTGTGGCGTAACATTTGTTTTCCTCTGTATTGTTTGTTAGTTATAACATTAATTTATTTAAGTGGAGTGTTTGTTCAAGTTACGTTGTTCTTGTCTTAGATTAGTGTGAAACATGCTCAGCTTGATATGTATTATATGGTTTGTTAGAATTCAGGATATTTTTCAGATATGTGCTTTTGTTCTGATTAATAAGCAAACTAGCTGTACAATCAATATAAGTGAGTATAGTTTCAACTAGGATCGTCATGTTCCAGGTTTAATAAATCTCTACTTTTAATAGTCTTACTTGCCTTGCTTCCAGTCGTAAGAATTGTGATGGTTCAAATAAGAGGATATAACAACAATCACCACAACAGCTTCTCACCTTTCTCTGCCCACTGAGTTCGAAACATTATAATCAGCCTCCTTTCTATGTACATTATAATTCAGACATATATAATTCATATATAAGCAGACCAGGATGTATTGCACTGTAGGGCCAGTGAAATGTCATTGGGCAGTCGGGTCATTGAATATAAAACAGTTCATCGATCCTCATCAAGGTCAAAAACAGCTCATGCGTTTCATGGACTGACCCATGAAGCAGTGGTCACACTTTGTTGCATTTACCTACTATTATTGACATATTTCTTTATTAACGTTGTTTTTGTCGCACGGTCATCAACGCATCCATAATATTTTGATACAACGAAAAGGTAGTTTACGTCAAGTACTAACCGTGATTTGTGATTTCGACTTTAGCTGGTTAATCGCACTATTCCCATCCAACTCGAGTAAGCCCCCGATCATTTGACACAGATCATTTACGGTAATGATCTACAACACAATGAAATGAAAAAATAACAGTTATATAGGGCCAAGTCATATGATAAACTGTAAATAATGGATCGGGAATAAATTAAGAACAGTAAAACGTATAATAAAAATTAACGACTCAAATAAAAGCTTATATTGAAAGGAATGTAAATATGTAAAATATATTTGTTTAATAACAATGTCATAAGAATATGTATAATAATAGTCCATAAATATTTTTGGCAGCTACCATTCACTTATTCTCCGTTCACATATACTATAGATTGCAGTTAGTTGAAGAATGGCACTTTCCCGACCATGAGTGACATCATATTACGGTGGAATTGTGAAATCATGGTCTGGTTCGATATTAGGACGTTGGTCTTTGTCTTTATGATAATAGATCTAGTACTAAAACTTTAGGATGATATGACCACCTAATCTACATGATCCTACATGAAAGCCACACCATAGTCTACACCGACTTTTTCTGTCTTGACAATCAGCAATGTAACGTCTAGAACTTGTTGTGACTCACATTTATCACGAGAACACGACTGGTTTAATAAAAACAATCATCATTATTATAACCAACTGTACCAGTGTATATTATAATGTGCTTTTGTTTGACTGTGCTAATTACAGCTATATTGTGCTTCCATTCTTATTCTTACACCTTGATTGTGACTTCGCGCGAATTCGGTTACATTCTGTAACCAAGCTTGTATCCTGGCACGATCTCGGTATCCTTTCGATACCATGAGATCGCCAGCAAATATATCTCCACTTGGTCCATTAACCGTCTTCTGATATTTGGCTTCTCGGGGATTTTATGGATTTATTTGGTTACGTTCAACCTTCGCCTTTTGATTTACTTGGCACGTGTTTTTTGGTAGCGGTGTTCATAGTTATTCTCAGCTCGACACCACGCTACAACTGGTGAGCTGAATTATGGAACACGCCACGAACTTCTGAAGAACAAATTTGGGCTGAGAAGAGAGTAAAATATTGGATATAAAAGGGAAAAGTTACATAGATTGACCACGCCTGCATGACCAAGCCATATGTGGTGTTTGAATGAACTAATGATTCTTTCTTAATTGTTAAATGCTTGATTTCGAATTCTAAATACAGTACATCCGTTTGTGCTTATCTAGTACTTCATGATCCAATTGTGTTATTTTTGGGATTCTTAGTTTATACTATAATTCAAATACTCCTAATTATCATACCATGCCATTTCGATTGATTGTTCCCTAGCTCACCATTATTGATCTACACTCCGTATTCACTATTGAATGTGAATTTTCCTAGTTATCCTATGTTCAACTTTGAGGGTCAATTGGTTAGAACCAATACCACTACAGAATGTTCATGCGTTTGCAATATTTGTGACTTAACACTGAACCTTTTTACTCATTGTTAACAAGATCTCATCTTCAACGACCTAGCAAAGGTCATGATGTTCCTTTCAACTTCACAGAAAACCAAAACCTAGGAAACAAATATTTGAATGTAAGACAGCTTCATCGCGGTCTGTGTACACTTTTGTTCTGTCAACCATAAACATCTCTTATCACTTTTCGACTACTTCTGAGAAGGAATTACGGAAGCAAAACGACTTGCACATCATTCTATGCTGGGACAGACCAGGAAGTCACTGTATACCTCTCAGGAGTGAATTAATAACTGAAGCTGCCACATAATTTCAGTTGGCCATTTTTGAGTCGAAGCCGGAAACTCAAGATAACACTCAAAGCCGGAACAAATTCTTTGATGCCCAATACTCCTCCATGAATTTCGCTTTGCATTCTTCCTTGGGTGTCCTAACTGGCGACAGCAAATGCCGAAGATGAATCATTATACGAAGAAACAAACTAAATGAATTTAAATTATTTTCACTGTACATTATTAGTTACCTAGAGGACTATACATCAAGTGTCTAATGGCCTCTTTTTCATAACTTTGTAGCGATTCACGGCCGAAATCAGCACTTGATGTCATTGTTCTAAAAAAACCACCAGTCAGTTGCTTTACCGAATATTCGTAGATTTCCATTGCAGTGGGATTGATTCCTAATTACACGACTTTTGAAGCCGAGAATACACTTATTGAAAAGATTTACGCTCAACATGTAACACTAAGAGGTCAACAATGGTGAACGCAGCAACAAGGAATCGGTATGGCATGGCTCATCCTTGAAGACATAATCGTTTTGTGTAACCCGTACCTTCTCACATTCAATATATTACTTCACCCCTAGCCGAAATATGTTCTTCAAAAGTACTGAACATAATACTGATGATTGCCAAGACAGAAAAAGTCAGTGTAGACTATTATGTGGCTTCCATGTAAGATCATATGGATTTGGAAGTCACATCATGACAAATATGACATTTCGGAATTACGGCTACGATATCGGTAGCGAAAATAAATGGACTATTACCACAGTAGACCACAATTACACACTGTAACTATTCAACTAAATGATGAAGCTTCGAGTTGTTTTTTATATGAACCTAGCAGAAAGATAACACCTACATTTTCTGCAGCCGGGACTCCTTCAACGTTCAGGCGACGTTTAGCCTGGACATTTTTTGATAAATAGTCTGAACAACAGAGGTGACTGTTCGCTGAAAATACAGACAAAGCTCTCACATAACTGACGCCAGTCAAAGACGGTCAGAAATACTTACCTTTAGGCTGTCTTGGCAAGCCATCTTGGACATTTTTATATTATTATTCTTTTTACTTTTAAAATCCTCCCTGTTCTTCAACTATAAACATACAATATTCGGTGAGGTTAATCATCTGCTTCAAAACATTCTGATTCCAAAAGATTGTTACAGTATTTCGGATCATCGAAAGTCGCTTGTCAAAACAAGCTGGACGACGCCGAAGACCTGAAACCGTTCGCTAAAAACATAATTCAAGGGCAAAGAAACTGACTAGCTTGTAACAGAATGTAGTAAAGATATGTTAAACTTTTTTCAATGATATAAAGATGCTAGCCCTCACATTGTTACACCAAAATAACTCTGAAAAATGAGTTGTTATATTTTTGTTTGAATCTGTCAATGGCTATAAGTTTTGAGTTAAAGGCGGGTGCGGGTTACAGCTGACTTCGTTATCCGCAGCGTCTGTACTTGGTATGTCTCTCCGCTGTCTGAAGGATTCTAGTTTCGTGTTCGATGATGCTTCATATAACGATCTGGAACTAGTTCACTTTCGTCTTACTGATTCTGCCTTGAAACATATTGAGCAACTTGCTAGCAGTTCAGTAAGTTTTTATTCAAGTATTATGTTGATTAACTAATAAAGGGAAACCACAAATTTAGCATTACGTTCAGTGGGTCCGAAGGAGTAATTTTCTATTATGTAATTATTTCACCTCTGTAGTCATTTATTGTTCCTGTCGGGAAAAGCAGCAGCAGATTTACATTCAGTACCTCAAGCTTAACAAGTACTCACGATGAATCTTTCAATTGCTTGCGCACCAAAGGGTAAGGAATTTTCCTTATGTAACCTACCGTTTACTCAAGAGTTTCAACTCATTGTCTGGGAAGGATGGTCTCCAGGATCACGGTCAATGCTAAGGAGGATAGCTTCTCAGCGGCTAAGGAGCGAATGACACAATTAGAAGACGAAAACAAAAAGTCTCAGACAAAAGAGATTAAATCTGCTAAATCCATGGCCTCAAGAACAGCAGCACCTCAATCCACTCACAAACAAGGCAATCAGGGTGTGAATTTGAAGGGAAAGGGAAATGAAATTTCACCTCAGAACATAGATTTCCCTAACGTAGCCAATCGAGTTCAGTCCCAGAATCCTGTCGGTTGTGGTCCCAGTCCTCCACTATCTAATCCAGACGTTTTGGCACGCTCACTGAGGTGTGTTTACTTCTTGCTTATACACATGAAAAATGTACGTGTAATCTCAGCCTGTTGGCACTCTAATATACCGTAGTGGCTGTTTGGAAGTTCTACATTGAATGGATTGTTTTGGCTCTGAATCAGTGGCTGTTGAAGTACTTACTTTTTATTAGTGCACTATTAGTTGGTAAGACTCGTTTGTCTACCATTTGCAGATCATTCTTCGTTTAGTCGCAATAACATCTCAAGTAATAAAGATTTGCCATCGTTTAAATATAACTTAATCATTTGTGGTGCATAGTTATATATATATATATATCGTATGATCAAATCCTAGTTGTACGTAACCAACAATCTAACTGAAAACTTTTATATTTGGGAAATTTATCATGGCATTCCATTGTAGGTTTCTATCTTATTGTTCTTACTACATTATACATTTGTATTGAAACCATACAGCTGTGTACATTATATCTGAGTAAATACGGTAGTACTATATTACTTGGTGGTAGTTTATGATTCCCGAAGCGTAACTCGTTTGATTTTATTTAATATAAATTTATTGGTCATGTACCGTAAGGCCTTCTTACTTCTAGTTGTAAGTTTTATGGATTTGAATATTAACCTGCCTGCTCCTACGTTGTATTTGACGGACTGACTTTTATTTGTTGATAATCTTATCGGTCATAATCAGGTTAAGTATTTAACTGATTCACTTTTGTAAAAAACGTCAGTTTCACTAGCTTCTTTTTAATGTGATATAGGTGTTGCTGACCAACCATATAAGTGCGCATAATTTTCTGATTATAATTACAATTTAGGAGTAGTTTAAGTGCTGTGAGAAGTTCTTTACCCTTGCTTTGCTTTGTTTTTTTGAAATTAGTTCAAAGTTAGCCTTTTTACTATGATACTGTACACGTGGGTTCCACTGGCTTTAAAGTACCATCTTTCGCGTAATATTTTGACATGTGTTTAGTAATATCGGTTATTGTAAGTCATTTGTGATATGCCTCGATAGTCGTGACCTACTTGAGAAGACAGTATATGATTAATTCCGACATAAAGATGGTTTAGTTTGTAACATTGTATCTAATTTGTGAACCATATTTTTAAATTCGTTTGGTCAAGGGTCTCATAAGTACTTGTTCAATTTGATATTATTAAGGAAGCTACCTCAAATATAGGGATGATGTGTTTGGTGATAATTGGGTTTAGTGCGCCTAATATGGATAATGCTTTGTTAGTGACGTTTGGTGTATAACTTCCGTTTCATGTCAAGGCACATTATTGCCGGTCACTATATGAAAGATGTGTACCTACGTTCGAAGGTTAGTTTTGTTTGCACTGTGACATCCCAATTGTGTTTTAAAACCATATTATTTATATATTATACGTTTCCATATACATTTTAGAGAACGCATTATTCACATACTGGCATTACGGCCTTATCAGCGCCCCGAATTATTATTACGGTTGTCTCGTGATGGCCTATCTCATACCCAGAAAGACCAAATATCCGACATATTGTCGTCAGTGGGTCGTGTTGGAAGACAGTCGGCATATTACCTTATACCGTCTGTGGTATCAGAATTAGATGAAAACTGGCCAGGTTATACTGGTGCTGAGAGAAAACGGATCATTTCTTTGAAGGTTAGTTATTAACTTTTAAGTTGTTGATCTGTATAACGTGCTGATTATTGCTTCGGCTTCAACAGACAATGTTGGTGATTCTCGTTGCTTGTTATCTGATATGTTAAATTCTTGTTGTCTCATGTCCGAAACTCTACTTAGCTCAGACCAAACAGATGTTTTGTGTATTTTAGACTGAATGAATTTTTAAGTTAATTTTCATCATTCGGCATTTTGCTCTTTATCCAGACTAGTCAGCAGTCTCAAACTCCTCCCAAATCTCCCACTGACCGATCTCGAACCGCTTCTCCTGACAACTCGTCCACCCCCTCTGACGACCAGTTTACTCGACGTCCAACACGAGCAAATGCTCCTTCGGCACCTCATGCATTGAGTAAGAAGATTGCTGCACTAGATATGTTGTGTGCAGGTGTGAGTGATGTGGAAGTTGCCGCCCGTCTAGGAGTATTCCGTGGACTGTTGGATCAGTGGCGAGCCAATGAATCAGAACTTCGAGAGGTGAGAATATTCCTATGTTGACTTTGTAAAATTTTGTTCAAGTCGTTTGCAGATCTTTCAATTATTTTTCATAGTCAACAATGGACTTAACAAGAGTTATCGTTGTGTGCAGACATCAAGCAACAAAATATAGATTACATTTTTGGTATATATTACATGAATAATCTCTCTCCTAATATATTAATACTACCTACTTTGTGTTCCCAGATTAGCTATCTTTCCTATAAAAGTAACTTGACATCATTCATATTAGATTTTACTCCTCAAATCTTCAGTGAAAAGTAGTTTTAATTTTAGTTTTTGTAGTATTCTGCCTTTGCGATATTAGTATTAAAGTATGGTCACCTCATTTTTTATATGGTTTCTCTGATGTACATGCTTTGTAAGTGCTACCAAAGTTCAGTATCATTCGTACATTTTACCAGGCTTAATTTCTTTTCATCAATTTTTGCCACATTTCAGCAACCCTTCGTAGATGACTAAATCTTTATACATGGAGTAATTACATAATCCACGTAATCACTTTGTCTAGGTAGAGATCCTTATATCTAAATCTACAGCTCATAAAATTAAATCTTTTGATAGTTATTGATGAGTAGTAGAAAAGGATCTTACAACGTTATATAGATAAATGCGGAAAATTCTAATGTCTAGTTGTAAAATATCACTGATTTCACATTAGGATTTTAATTTCCTTGTGTCTTATTAGTTATTTTCTGTGTTAAGAAACAAGGAATGTTTAAAAGAACAATCAGTTTCAGTAACTTCTACTTGTACACTAGTTGATTGTCCGGGACTATTAGTCCCGGAACTGAGAGAGTTGTGTAAATGAGTGAATATTTGGATCATACAACTCAATAGCAGACTGTATTAGCAAAGTACATTTAAAATAGTTTTATCACAATTAATTATGAAAAATTTTCATATCAAAATGATTGATGTAATATATATTTGCTTTTTTGTTGTTGGTAAACATTGGCTTCAGTTGTACGCCCTAGAAATTGTTTCAGAAGTTGTTTAAAGCCCAACACATTTCAAACTTGTTTACGTCCTGTTAATATTATCTTGTGATACAGTTGTCTTTTCCTATTGATTATAAGTCTAAATCTACACTGAATCTGGTTGACTACTTATTTATTCTCACTCAATTGAAATCTGTGTGTTCAAGAGATCACTAAATATAAGTCCAAAAAGTTAGACTCAAGGAAGATGATAACTTGTAGATTGACCATAAATACTATGATTAATAATTTATAGGCTTATAAATTATTTAATAGCCAAAATTATCATTTCGTACTCAGTTCTGATGTATCCAACCTAGTTTGGATAGGAACTATTTATAGATCCAATTTTATTAGCTGATAAATAAATTTCAAGGTGAATCTTTATCGAATTTTCAGATATAGCAAATACATCCCAGTGTTATAATGACCAAGAGCTCTCAATGTATATCTACCCATGAATATTTGGCTTATTGGTATCATAAGTTTTATTATATTGACAGAATCGGGTGTGACTTGCAGAAAATTATTGGTTATTTTCGTAAATTGAAGTTGCTGGTACAGACAGATTCTGTTTCCAATCGACTTCTGCCTAATTTCAAAAATCAAAACTCATCAATCAACTGTGTCGGTACATCACTTCTATGTATTGAATAAATCAATCGAATGTTCATATTGAAGGAAACGGTGGAGGAAACGTGTGATCCAGTGGTTTTAAGCTAAGTATCTAAAACACATTTACTACTAAGCATTTATCATTCCATTTTTCAGTTACTTTGCATACTACATTTTATTTGTATCCAGATAATAATGTCTCATTATTGTATTTACTTTTGTTTTATTCTCAGAAATTTCGTCGACTCAATGCAAACACAAATTCAACACCCTCAACTCAGATCTCCAGTTTTAATCAACATTCCCAGGTGTATGATAAGTCTGTCAGTGTTCGTCACCAAAATCCTACTATGTCTACTGCAAATGATGTTGGCAGTCAACGTTCTACTTCAACAAATCCTGGAAATACAATTTCTCCCCATAAACGTGCTAAATTAGATGTGCCCAATACGCCCTCTAGTTCTGCTGACCAACAAGTAGACTTAACATATTCTACCTCTGATAAAACTGTTTCAAGATCATCCATTATGCATTCATTTCCAAATCAAAACAATGATGATCATAATAATCAAACTAATACTATTTCTCCTCCACTTCACGATAACCCTCACACACTTGATACATATAGTCGTTCAAATCAACCTTGTACATATAATATAGCCGGTGGGAGTGAGGGAGAAAGTGCCGAACACACTCCATTCTCCAATTCAAGTACTGGTAGCAGTGGTTATGGTGGTTCAAATAACGGCTTAACTGCCTCTAGTGGAGTAGTAAACAGTAGTATTAATATTGACAATCGCCGTGAAGGATTAATAGGATCTACATCTCGATGCCATTTGACAATGTCTGTTCATTCTGAATGCTTGTCTAGTCGCTTAAAAGCTGAAGATCAATTGTCTAATGGTAAGTTTTGGGTATTTCTTAATATAATACAATCAGTTCGGAAAATTAATAGTTTGTTCGAGAGTATACAGACCACTCAATAGTGAAATGAAATGACTAGTTTTCTTATATCATGCTAAGTTGAATTGTGGCGAGTATAATGCGATTAAAACCAAATGTTTAATTATTACAAATCAGTTTACCAGTGATAGCTAGTTTCAAAATCTTTTTATAACGGTTATTGATCCTTAGTGGGACCAGTTTTTCTTTCTGTTAAATGATTTATCATTTACTTCTGTTTGAAATGCTAGTGTACTCACTTGTCTTCTAAATCTTATACATCGTGTATAAAGTGCAAAACAGTACAATTGAACAATTTGCATGTTTATATACTATTATTTTTGGCTTACCAGTGTTACACAACCCCATAATCCTTGTCTTAGGGTTTAATGAAATTACGAAAATATTTGTCGATTGTTTATTGGACTAGTGTAACAATTCAGTTGGTTTTCAAATACCGAACCTCCATTGTTTTGTATTGGGTGAAATTAAGAGTATTCGTTTGTAATTAATAATCCCTACTGTAATACGTACTTTTCCTGCCGGCCAGTCAGCCATCATCATTATAGTCTGAGACAAATATGCCTTAGCTCAAGTTACTATTCCTTATCACTCTAACGAGACATGACTAATGAGAAAAATACGATGAGTCAATATAATAGCGATACCAACAATAGTGAGGGAGACTGGAGATTTTGAATGTTAGAATGAAATGGTATGTGTTGAGGTATCCTTGAGCTCGAGATCTAAAGAAATACTGATTGAATACATCTGTACCATCGTGACCTATTCTAAGCTATACCACCTAGCGCCTCTAACCACTGATATCGATTACCATGCGGTTCCTAATCAGGTAGTTTACACTTATCGAATTGCTTCTATCCAACAGCCAATACCTTTGTAGACTGATGGTGCGTCCTGGTTTCATCACTCGTTCCTACTCCAGTTAACATTCTGGTTGAGGTAAATAGTGATTGGATAGAGGTAGCACATGTCCTGATCACACCAACCAATAGGATTCCACTACCTCTCCAACTGGTTTGCCTATCAGTTTGCACTATCACTGCTCACTCAGTTGCATGCACGACTAATGCTTTGAAGACACCTATATCCAAACACTTAACTGACACTTGTCTTTCACTTTCATAAATCATTTTTTTGAAAACCGTAGTGTAGTACAGAGAAGACTGCTGTACGATGTACTCTCCCCTTGGAGTCAATTTTTTGAGTCCTGATGCTTTTTCTCGCTTCAATTTGAATGTTCTATTTTGAACGTCCCTAAGAGTTGACGGAAGTGTTTCAATTTCCGATTCAGGTTGTATAGGAATATTTTGTAACTAGTGAAACAATGTATTGAGATGATTTGACGAGTTTATATTATATTGTTCATCATTGAGTGTAAAATCAGTAAATACATTTTAAGATATCTGACTTGTTTAAAAACATCTCCATCGACCATTATGCTCTTTGTCGAAATCCCTTATTCGATTTGAAGAGCTACATAGGATATCACACTTTCACACAGCAAGTTTGATCCTAAATGAGCTTCTAAACCTGAAATTTATTACAGATTTGTATAAACGTTTTTCTGCTTCTACCTAACTCTTATTGTTTAAGTTATCTATTCACACAGTTCCATTGCATTTCGAATTTGAGATGAAAATCAATTGTTTACTTTTAATATATAAATCATCAGCAGACCTATTCCTCTGTCTAATCACCTTTAGACCTCTTTTACTCGACATCGGCTTAATTAAAATAATTATATTAGATATTAGTTGTTTGGCAACTCGAACTGATGTACGTACGTACGAAGTTCTACGTTGTTACTGACTGAGCTGTACATTTCTAGTATATTCTGACCTAACTTAACCTATTCATATTCACAATCTTGTCGATTAAAAAAAAACAACTAACCGAAAAATAAACAAATAACTTCAGGCTTTTCCATACTAATACTCATGCTTCCATAGTTCTCTAGTAGAACGTAATATGCCATTCATTATTTGATGAGCTGTATTTAACTTAACCCAAAATTATTTTTATGGTTTTGTATTAGTATGTAGTTTCAATGTATAGCAATATCTCATAGATAATTTTTCTGCCATATTTTAAGTCTATAACTGGTATTTATATATTGTTATACTCAAACTGCCATCGATTTGTTTGGTAAAACAATGTGTTCATCAGTTCGTAATAGTGACCATAAATTGTGTATTCTGTGTGTTGATTTTGTTGCTTATTACTTACTCACATGACTTACATAAATAACGTGGCTTACATGAAGTATCAAACTTTTTATAATCGATAGTCACTCATTTCAGTTTTCTGGGTACTATATTTTAAATCTGTTAGTCTAATATATATATACTGATTAAACTGGTTTCTCACATCGTGTTTGTGGGATGAATTTTACAAATCCAGCAGATCAATCATCGGTCTATGTAATGTGAGATTCAAACAGGTATCACTTAGCTTCACAACCTGATATGTTATTATTGAGTTATTTAGACCTAGACTGACCTTTTGTGCAACAACTTTAATAATTGCGATCAAAATATCAAGCAAACGACATAGAAGGGAGAGACAAAATATTAAGGGTAAAATCGACCAAAATCTCTCGGACACCAGCTGAAGCAGAAATAAACGATTGCGTAATGAACTCTTCAAACAGTCCCTAACCAAAGTGGAAGAATGTCTTTTTCAAAAAGAACCACAATACTGAAAAGGTGTCGAAAACGGAATTCTTCGCAACGCTGGAGTCATCACTCAAAATTTCACTACTAAGTGAAGAAACTCAACAAACACCAAAACAAACGGTGGTACTCCTGGTTTAACAAAAGAAAAATTACTATCAAAAGGCGTTAACATAACTGGAAATATAGAAAAACACAATCATAATTCCTGCTGATAATGAATAAACCACGATATTCATGGATGAAGAAAACTACATTCAGAGGTCTGAGGAACTACTCAAAGACGATAGTGCATATCAATCAATGGAAGATAACCCTGTCCAAAAAATTTATAATAAGATCAACGGAACTGTCAACAAACTTGTCAAAGCGGAACTACTGACAAAATATGGTCAATGGAGAATGAGGTCAAATAAACCTATAGTATACCAAAATTACACAAACTGAACATCCCTCTATGACCAGTCGTTGCACCTCCATGGACCTCTACGTACAATCTTTCAAGAATTATCACAGCCGTTAAAATATCTGACGAACTCATATGATCACTAGATCTAATCTCCAACAACAAATTGAAGGTATCCTTTAATGCTATTGTCCTATTTGCCTCTATCGAACCAAATATAACAAAGGACACTATTCATCCTTCTCACCAATAATACAAATCTTTCAGAATACACCAAGTTTCAATGCCAAAGCCTGATTAATCTCATTGACAACCTACTTCTAACTCGAAAATATACTAAAAAAAGGAACTTCAGTGGGTTCACTGATATTCGAATTAATTGCGGAAGCATATATGCAGAGGTTGGAAAACTTCGATCCTGCCAATGATCAAACTAAAAATCTGTATACTTTATGTGAACGACACATTCATCATCATCCAAAAATATCATCTGGAAAGTACTAATAATTTGATCAACTGCGTGTTAAACAACATAAAATTCACATTAGAGGTATAAACAGACAAACTATCATCATTAAACATGTCAATCACCAGAACCAATATGAAAAAGATAGATGCTCATATATATATATATAATATATATATATATACCGGAAATCAGTTCATACCAATCTGATGCTTGATTACATACCAATAACTTAATGTCTCACAAAATCAGCTGTATACGAGCACTTTTCAAACGAATAACCAGATTGCAGTTATTCGAAAAATAAAGAAATAAAATACCTATTGGATGTATTTCGAAAACTGGCTACACGCCAAATGTTATCTACAAGATAAATTTCAATCAACACCACGTAGGATAAAGTGGATGGCCTCTTCGTCTACATCTACATAACATACACTCGCTCGTGTCAATGCATGTGAACAACAGTAACCATAAGTTCGATTGAGAAAGTATGAGGTTATTGGACAGGAAAAACACGAAAACGACTAAAGAGTTTTTAGACACTTGTAACTATAATTAATCGTTAATCAATATATATACACTAAAATTAATTTAATCTATCGACCAATAAGGAAAAGAATTAACAACTGCAAGGTCAGAGTTCAGGTCAGGAGAAAAAAACACTTATAAACAACTACCATACAATAACAACCAAGTTTCAGATCAACAAAACAGGTTGTTAGCCACTTATGAAGAAATCCTAATAACTCACTTCTAATTGAAGTAGGTACTAATGTTGTTATTCATTAAAACATTAAAAGCTTCAAAACCAGTCCACCGAGCTCAGAGACCTCATCACCTCAAACATATGACATTGTACTTGGAAACATAATTTTTCACTCCGGTTGACTATCAATTAACAATTAATAATATACCATTTAATTATATGATTCTATAACAACCTTGAATAATTGACATTCCCATCAATGTTAGCTTGTCTAGGTCTTTAGTTCAAAGAGTCTAAGGAATGAATTTTACTGAAAATTTCCAAACATGTTTAAAATATCATAGGGGCCATAATTAAAGTAAATGAGTTCAACTGACTAAGGACATAACTTTGTTAGCATATAATATAATGGTCTTGAGAATTCAAAGTAGAAACTGTTTGTGATGCAGACTAACTATATATAAATGTTGTTGTATACCTTTAACACTGATTAATTGTTTGTAGAAATTGGCAGATAGTACATATTGAGAATACTAAGCTTGATAAAATAACTCGTCTATTTAAATTTTTTTGATTGAAACCATGAATCAATTGAAGCTAGATCCCTAGTGACTAGCTTCGTGAGAAAATTCTCGGAGTTCTGGTGAGAAGCCGTTACCAGTGAGCTAACCCGTGTCGGGTAGAAACAGGTATCTACCTCAGTACAATAAAAGATGGTCGCGCAATTTCATGGATTGATTGAGGTTAGACATTAACACCACTGGATACCGGCTCAGTGGTCTAGTTGGTTAAGCGCCTGGCGCGAGAGTGATAGCTCCTGGGTTCGAGCCTCGCGGAGTGAGGGATCGTGAATGCGCACTGCTGAGGAGTCCCACAATAGGACGGAACGGCCGTCCAGTGCTTCCAGGTTTTCCATGATGGTCTAGCTTCAATTGACTCATGATTTCAATCAAAAACTTAACAATCTCCACAACCCCTAAACTGATGATTTAAATTTTCATTTTCAAATACACAAATATACTTTTTATGATATATAGATCAAAATTCTTCATTTGTAGATTTTATTAAACCATTTAAGAATAAACTTTCTTCGTTAGAACTTATATTGAGTTTTTAAACATAAAGATGTTCAATAGAATATAATCTATTTATATGCATATAAATGACAGTTACTAACCTGGTTAAAAGATTTTCTGGGCCATTGGTAACAATGAAAAGTGCAAACTTATAGTAAAGTAAAAATAATAGCACAATGAATAAATATTTCAACACAGGAAGTAAATAAAACTTGATAAAATGAACTAATCAAGCATTATGTAATACGGGAGGTGTGAATAATCGGTTTAAATATCTGAGTATTAAAAGGGAGATGTAAGAGTTTCAGAGAGAAATAAACAAAGGTATTTCAAACTTATTTTAAACAGGACTAGATTTATTAGTTATAATCCCTACAATTCTCATTATACGTATCAAATGCTATCGAGATGAACTGATCAAATTGCAGGCAAATCACTCAGAATGCTTTAGTTCCATCTATCACATAACCAATATCAATCAGGTATAATAAAATGAACCCGGGTATTGAAGTGTTCCACGAAGGAAGATGCTCACTTTCTAATTGGCTAAATTGTCTAACAGTAGGCCTGTAAATATCTTTCTCCACAGATTGATGAACTAAATTGGTCAATTCAAGAAAAACTTTAAAAAATGACAAGCAATGATTAACTGTGTATGAAGTCATTTTTTCAATTCTAATCAGCCTACCATATAGGAAAACTATCTATATCTCCATTAAAATGTAGTTTCAAAAAGAAAGGTTTCTTACGAAAAACACATGTTTCTGACTTTTTGCTCACTATATGCATATGTCTCCTCATAATCTTTTATCGGTAACCGTTTACAATGAATATATATAGTCTAACTCCTCTGTTTATGACATTGTCGTATTATATCTTTCTAGCTCTGCTTGTAAAACAACTAACCAGATTTCTTTTGCAATGATTAATTACAAAGCTGAAATGTGTGTGTGTGTGTTGACACCCAGATGAACTTTTTCTGAACACGTTTCTACTGATTGATCCATCTTCTTTCTGTTTAAACAAAATGTCAAGAAAATGTAAATTGCTATCATCATACTCTCCCTCACAAATAAACATTAGTGTCGAGTGTACTACTTGTGTATGTTTTTATAAGATATTTACTCTTATTAATATATTTGTGCGTATGGCATTGATGGTAGTGATGAAATGATAGTTTAGTCATTCGACTCTCAATCGCTTACTCTCAAGTTCGAGTTCCACACCGTCTACTTCGGTTTTAAGATTTGTATGTTATCCTTAACCCTCACATCCAACTACTGAATAAAGCAGTTAATTTAGATTTAATGGGTGTATTGTCAAAGCTTCGTATTTGTGAATAACATTCATTGAATGCTTGTTATAACTTGAAGGATAAAAATAAGTTGGGGATTCTGAAGTTATTCACTTTAAGTATTGCATGCTGGCTACTATTACATAAAAAAATGCCGTGCAACCAACTTTCATGAAAAACAATTTTAAGCTGAACAATATTATTCCTATGTTAAGCTTAAATAATAATAATAACAGTAGAGTAGAGTATCATCTACATCTTTCGATAAGGTCCCAAATGCCCTGGTACGGCTGAGGATAAGGAGAGGCTTCTCTCCCTCTCGAAATTCTGTCATGTGGCCACGTGCGTACAGCCGCTACCAGGGAAGTCCTACTCAATGCCTTCTCACGGCGAGGGGGTTGTTTACGAAATTGTGCGGACGAAAAACGAATATCCAGCGCTTTAACCCGGGGTTAGTGGATATCGAAGATCCACATAAAAACTCAATTATTTATGTGGTCTTTTGTATTAATGTTTAAAATTAATAAATTCGGTGCACTCTATCGAAGTCATTAAAATTTCAGTTATAAAAATTCTTGTCGTTTATTCATGACACTCTCATTCATTATTTTTTTAGGTCATTCTGTTTTATTTTGTATACGTTACAGTTTTGTATTTATCTTTTGTTTATCATTTCAAAGTGAATCATTGTGTATTATAGGAATGATCACTTCATTCTATTAGCTTACATATGTTGCACTTTATATAAAGATTGAAACAATCTTAGTACTTTTGAAATTGTTTTGATGAAACTTCTGTTCTGATGACAGAATATATGTTACTTCAACTTGTTATGTTGTTGTCGGATAAAGCGGTTAATAATTTGTCAAACAAATGATTCTGTATTATCGTCTTATCGGTTGACCTTTTTTTGATGCAAATACCAATCAATTGAACTACTCAAAGATAATGCTTTAAATGTAAGCGCTTTTCAATGGTAGTTCTCTCTTATAAAAATATCAGTTATGAATAAAGACTATCTCTAAATTGAATATTGTATGAAACATATATACTTTATGTTTTGTTTATATGCGGCAGTATAATATTAGATTATATAATGTATCACTACTAAGTCTGTTCCAAAGATAGCTCATATTATCTTAGCAAATTATGTATATCTTTAAGAGATTCCTATAAGTATATTGTACCTATTTCGGACAGTCTGGTTTTCATAAAATGGAAAATTATTGAGTGTACTAGTCTAGTCTTTATATATTTAATTTATGTTTCATTTCTTGCTTATCTTTTGTCTATTTCTCTCGTTCTACTATATTTTCAGGTAATACAACAAATACACCAGCATATGGTATAACTGAACAAGCTTTGTCTCAAAGTATTGTTGGAACAGATGGTTTTCATGTAGGCGATTTGAGCAGTAAATTGGCTGAAATCGACCGGTATATTCTCTTAATTATTTATACATTGTTCATGTTTAAATCTGTTTATTGTAAAGCAATATTGTTAGATTTGGCATAATAATGAATTGTATTTTTTTCTGAAAGGCAGTGTTTCAGGTTAGAATGGTATGAGATGTTTAGAGTTCTACTTACATGTTTCTTTGGATTATCATTATCCTCTTTCAAAACTATTTACAGTAATTATGATACAACTTAGAATAGATTGTCAACTGGTTCCTGTTTAGCGTCTTGTAGATAATCGATTTTTAATACTTCAATGGTATTCTGTGAATATGTTAGTAGCATTTTTGATATAAGTAATGTTGCCACACAATGTATATATGATTCATGTTGTGAGAGTATATGTTTGAGAACCACATTATTGAACTAGATATTAAACGTATGTATGTGCAGACTAGGATTTGTAATATCTTAAAAATTTATTCATTCATCAAGTATTTACAGTATAAGGGCTATACAGATACTACCCGGATTGTCAAATCGAAATATGCAGAGCGGGATTCGAACCTTGAACTTAGTGATTAAAAGTCGAGTGTGTTAATGAATAATCCACTGTGATTATACCACATCTAAAGGACTGGTTCTCGTTAGATTACAGCAGCTAAATAACTTTGAGCCTGCTAAGTATTTTGTAATATTTTGAGTTATGACAGTTAAATCAAACCAATAAACTGAGATTTTCATACAATGGATAGATTTTAACAGCATGTGAAGTTGTGAATATTTTTAAAAAAAAACAGTTATATTTATATCCTTTTCTTTCTTAAGGCTTTATCCAGAAATCTCAACATCAGAACAAGCTTCAATGTATTTAGCTGAATTTGAATGTACCTATCCAACTTATCTTCGAATGTATCATTCATTCTCAGATATTTGGAAAACTGTCAGTAATCTACGAAGTCAATTATTAGAAGCCACTAGAACTGAAGGTTTTGATAGTGCTACTACAACCCATTTAGCAAATCAATTAGATAAATTTATACGTCGTTCTCGTTCACAAAAATATCGTGATGATGAAATTCAATTAACATTGATGGTACATAAATTACGATTGTTAAAACAAAGGCTTGCTGTATCACAACACAATAATAATGGTGGTCGTCATCGTGATCGCATTCTACCTGTTACTACTAGTGATGATGTAACAGGTGATAAAATTGATCGTCTTCCTAGGAGTAATAATAATAACAATATAAAATCTATTTCAATGAAATCATCATCTAGTAAAGTATCTTCAATGTCTAACAACAACATTGCTCAATCATCTAATAATAATGAAAATAAAAATAGTAGTCGTCTTATTAATAATTGTTATCGTCAATTACTAACTGATTCAAACGATTATTCAAGTCTACTCCCATGTAATCAAGTTTGAAAAACTACGACTAAATAAGAAGGAATAATACAGCTACAGATTTTTTTTTCTTCCTTATCATTTTACACCTATTAACACTGGTAAAACTTAATTCTCTCAAAGATTATGCGGTGTATTTGACTCTCTCTCTCTCCCTCCTCCTTCTCCCCTCTCTCGTTGTCTTTCGGTTAAATAAGTGTCTCAATTGTCTTGCCAATCTTTTATATCAGTAGTTGTTTCGTGCCGGCTATTTCACACTTCTTATTACTTTTTTTTTTAAAAAAAATGTTGTCATGATTACATTCATGATGTATATGGTATTAACCTAGAGAGTAGTTAGTTGAATGATCATAATTCCCCTGTATACAATAAATGGAGCATACACAACATTGTTCATTTTGACTGATATATGTAAGATTTGTTTGTCTCTTTTCTTTGTGTGTGTGTGTGTGCGTCTATGTTTTGTTTGATTTTGTCTTTCGTTTTCTCAATTTATTTTTTTAAATTTACAATAATCTGTGTTATGACTGGTGTCCGGATATATATATATATATATATATGGGGTATCCTGTCGAACTTATATTAACTACTAGTTGTTCAATATCTTTCTTCTGCTTTCTTTTTTTTTCAATTACCCTGTGTCTATTATCCCTTGTGTTTAGTTACTGATGTATCCCTTACACAGTTTTCTTTTTACAGTGAATTAATGAAACAGAATACTTAAAAAGATAAGTCACATTATATTTACACACAAAAAAAATCAATCAGGAAAGCATTCCTTCAATTAATCTTTGGTACCAATTTTTTTTCTCTCTCTCTCTCTCACTATATATATATATATATATTGGTGTATGAAATTATGGTGTTGGTGTTGTGACCCAGTTACTGTGACCTTATTATTAGTCGATGTTATTGTTCCAATTAACAAAACTATTTGTGAATAATCTAACATAGTATTATTATTATTATTATTGTTACTATGATCACTAAATAAGCATTTCCTATTCTAATCTACTCGGAAACAAAACTGGTTTTGAATAAGTCTATAAACTCTACTAATTGACATATATATTTCATATTTTTTAAAGAAAAAATGTAGTGAGGCATTTATTACCTTACATTTCATAAATAAATTAATTAAAAATGTCTTTTGTCCATGGTCTTACTAATAAAATGTATTAAGATGCTTAATTCTATATATATATATACACATGAATTATATGTATAAGATGCCAAGATGTATCTGTATTATTTCTCTTCTTTTTCTCTCTTTTCTTTTGTTGTTGCGGTTGTTATTATTATTATTGAAAGATTAGTGAATTACTTAGTCAGTTTTTTTTCTCTCCCAATTCACCTCTATAATATGTACGTTGAAATTATCGACATTCAATATGTTATACAGATAGATTTATCCGCTCTGTGACAGTGTGTACACATGTTATTTTAGATCTCTATTTTTCTCTATTCTAGACTTGAAATTCCCGTGATTATTACAACTGTTTTGCATTCCATTATTAAACAATTACATATGAATAGTTGATTGTAATTATGCTTCCCTTGCCCGCCTCCACCGAGTCTTCCTTCCTTCATAGTGTTCATATGTTTGTGTATGTACGAAAGAGAGAGAGAGAGAAGAGATTTAGTCTTTTTAACATGTTCTTGTAGTTATGGTTTATTGATCTTCGATATTATTATTATTATCGCTTTTAATTCATTTGTCCGGTGACTTAAAGTTTGCTATCTCTTCACATTTTTGCGAATACAAATTCTCATAATGATGTATGTATTTACCAATAACATTATTGTTCATAATGTCGAATGGAGATTATTTCACTTTTTACCCTATTGATAGTTGGCTTATGTTGTCTCTCTCTCTCCCCTCTCTCTCTGGTATTCTTCAATTTCAGTAAGCATTTCATCTAAACAGAGTTAAAAATCTATTTGTTCACTTATGATAATTGTTGTATTATGTCTGTTAATTCTTTTTCTGTCACTTTTCCTTTCCCTGACAAACGTATTCTCTTCTTTATTCCTCATCTGTTTGTATTATTTCAACGCTACTGCTACTTCCGTTCACATGTGTGTGTGTGTGTATTTCCTATGAAAGTTAATAACTATTGTAATTTGTTGTGATGTAATTAATCGGTCTTTCATAGTGCATTATACTTATTATGTTAATAATGCAACAGTTAAAATCTACTTACTCGTAAGTCGGATTTTCTGTTTCTCTTCTTTTTTTGTCGATTTTTTTGTTGTTGTTGTTGTGATCATATCGTTACTATGTCTCTTTCTCTCGCTCTCTGAACTTTGTCCATCCGCACACGTACACCCACACACACACACATACTACGTACATTTGTCCTATTTTCTATGTAAATATTATGATTATTTATTTTGGTGTTATGAATAAAATGGTGGTTCTACCTATATATGAATGTCAATTTCATATTGACTGAATTGATTTGTTTGTTTCTTTTTCTCTCTCTTTTTTTAACAATAAAACAATATTTTTTTGATGTTTATTCATTAAGGTATAAATAAATGTAAACAAATTAAACAAGCAATTTCATACTTATGATATATATATATACATATTATCAGAATGGGTTTTGTGGAGAGTTTTAGAAATTTCATAAGTTGAAATCATCAGTCAATTGAAGCTAGACCACCATGGAAAACCTGAGTTTGAATCCCGCGGGATCGTGGATGCGCACTGCTGAGGAGTTCCATACTGGGACGAAACGGCCGTCCAGTGCTTCCAGGTTTTCCATGGTAGTCTAGCTTCAATTGACTCATGATTTTAACCTATGATATATATATATATATATATATATATAATGTGAATGAACGTTGACACGGTTTTTGTGATTTCTTTCAACAAACAAAAAACCAATTAGGAATTGATGAAAAGGGTAGTTTATCCGTACAGTTGGTGTTTATTCTGTTGTGCTTCGGGTTATATACATGGTACTTTAATAAGTTGGTAATTATTTGGGTGAAACTCTAATTTATAGACGGACCAATCAGGTATAAGATAGAAGGTCCCGAATTTTGGCATGAAATTTACTCATCCATTTGGTTAAATGGATTTATAGCATTGTAGCTGATGTCAGTTAGTGATGAAAACCCTAACTCTGATTTCTAATCTTAACCATTAAATGTAAATTATAATTCGAGTTCGTCACACTAATTTATAACCCTAATTCGGTCGTAGTTATTAGGTAGACACTCACTCTCAAGGTCAGTTTAGCCTCTCTTGAAGGTTGTCTATAAATTATAGCCTTGTCATTATTTGAATTTAATTCAGCTGTTTGTACTTACACTACATCTGTACAAATTAAAGATTTGGTTGTGTATTAAGATTCAAATTATTATAAAAAATGGTCAGTTATTTATAGTGTGCTGAATCCACATTAATAAAATTAAGAATAATCCTTGTTTAGTGCTATTCTGTTAAATAAGTTAATCAATTCCAATAAGAAATTGAGCACGTTTTTTTCGGTAATGCATCGAGAAGGCCAAAGTTATCAGGATTATGCGATAGATATTTGCGCAATACATTTCAAACAATCTGATTACACATATAATTAGTGACTTTTCAGAAGGGGTTTTGTGGATATTATAGCAATTTTAATAGTTGGGATCATGAATCAATCGAAGCTAGGCCACCATGGAAAACCTGAAAATACTAGACTACCGTTTTGTCCTATTGTGGGACTCCTCAGCAGTGCGCATTCACGCCCTCGCCTCGTAGGATTCGAGCCCAGGGCCTATCAATCTCGCACGCGAACACTTAACCTCTAAACCATTGAGCGGGCCGGGATCCAACGGTGTTAACGTCTAATTTCAACTAACCCACGAAATCGAGCAACACATCCACCATTGTTTTCAGAAAGTTATCGATAAATGTAATTATATTATTGATTAAAACAAGAAACTTTTGGAATACTAATTGGGATTAAATAATGAATTACTAGGGTTGATTATAGAGATTAAAAAAAAATAAATTTCTACGAAATCTCATAACAAAAGGTTCGAAACTCTAATTTTGGAAGACTCCGAATGATGCTTACTTTCGATGGGAATCATGCTCGAAATAGCGTTTACAGAGGACTAATTTACTTAAAAGTTAGAGGTTTTTCATTGTACAGTGATGAATAATATCTCGATAAAATCTTTTTAATAATAGTACAAGCTATGTCATATATATATATATAGTTCTGGTGATCTTAGGATACCTGGGCATGTGATTTGTTATGATTTGGGATCAGCTGATTGTAAACTTATTTGCATTTATTATATATATATATATCACTGGGAATTAGTTTTTGTACGAATTTCACATTCACTGTTTGTATTTGTTGTTATAATTGATTTAATTCAAAGTGAGATTTATGCATAAATTTTTGATTTCTGTCGAACTATGGTTATTTATTTCAAGTGTATGAGTACTATTACAAGTTGTTTCAGTTGTAAGAAACATAGAATCTTGCACATATATACATTGATTCAATTTGTCCCGCATCAAATTAACACAATAAGATGAAATTGTCAAGATAAATTCTAGATTAGTAGAAGTATTAACAGTAATCGTAGTAATAGTTGAATACATAAATTGTAAACAAGATATTTCAATAGAAAAAATGAACTCACTAAATAAAAAGTATGAGTATTCTATATCCAATTTGGAGTAGTTTGAGTTATACTGTTGTTGATATTTTGACTGAGATTCGATCAGTCTTAGTTGGCATATGCGCAGATTGTTTTCATATAGCCATTATAACATAATTTTACACAATAGATAGAATCTAGGTAGCAGTGGGATACAGTAGGCTCGTTTTGTTCAATTTTGGGACTTGTCAGTTAGATATACCTGTACACTGCCATGCAATAGCCGCCAAAGGTTTTAGAACCTTATGGTCAATACGCAGGGCTTTTAGTCATGTCGACGCAAAAACGTTTTTGACTTTGTATACGGTGTTCGTATGTCCTAAACTTGAGTACTGCATACAAGCAGCTAGACCCTGCTTGAAAAAATACAGAGAGCTTCTGGAAAAGGTTCAGAGAACAACAACTAGGCTGATTCCCGGAATAGCGAAGCTTCCTATGATGCTCGACTGGCCAAACTAAACCTTTTCCCGTTGTCATATCGTAGAACTAGAGGCGACTTGATTGCAGTTTTCAAATTGCTTAGTGCCAAATTCGCACCTGATATGCCCTCATTTTTCTTGTCTTTCAAAACAGAGAATTTACGAGGACACTCTAAAAAGTTCACAAGCCCAGAACAAATTACTTGTCAGCTGATTATCGACTTTCCCATCGAGTCGTCAAAGAGTGGAATTCACTACCTCAGCACGTGATTGAGGCTCCATCCGTCGACTCTTTCAAAAGAAAGTTGGATCAACTGAGAGACCACCATTTCCAGGACTAACACAGGCCATCAAGCCTCCTGTCCTTTCCAAACTGAAACTGATATCCAACATAAAACGTGACACATATGCGTCAGCTCAAATTGTCATAACAGCGGGATGAAAGCATCAAGACAAATTCCAGAGTAGTAGAAGTGGCAGCAATATCGGGAGTAGTAGACAATAATAGGTGTAGAAAAAGGAAGGTATAAGATTCTAGTGTTCAGAAACTAAGGAAGGACGAAGAATGAATACATCTGCACCACTACTTATAACTCAATATTTATCGATTTTTACAGAAAAACAAAGCAGATAAAACAATTTATCGTCATTTATGCACTCGT